GGATGGCTGTGATCTCTGACGTGACAGAAGAGAGCAGTGTTAGTGTTGGCAAGCTTAACACTACTTTTGTGCTCCCTAAGTTTGTCAGAAAGAGATCGGCCAGTTTCTCCAAAGCATTGAAGAGGACAGGAGGAACAAGAAATAGAGTAGACACCAGGAGCATCTGTAGAGGGAGGAGAGGTATGAATGAGATTAGTGCGAGAGTGTTAGTCTGGCGGAATGTAAGTTTGATGTCTAAGGAACAGAGAGTTGTTGAGATTAGAAAGACGGGAAATGTAGGGAAGGCAGAGGAGAGAAGAGTTCCCAGGAGTAGAGAGTTTGGGAGAGAAGAAATTACATTTAGCACGTGAGAAGGCAGGGTCTATGAAATGGGAAGGGTAGCCAAGACGAGAAAATGAGTTATGAAAGTGGAAATTTCTGATTGAAGGAACTGAGGATCATAAATGCAGAGAGCATGGAGATAGAGGGAGATAAGAACACTTCTCTCGACTTTGTAAATGGTTCAAATCGGACCGAACATCGTCGTAATCTACTCTCTTCTATGTGCTGGTTATTTGTGTATCCAACCCCTCTCACTTATATATATGTCCAACATGTTTTCTGCAATTTGACATACCTTTTGCTCTTCAAGGTCACCTGCACTGTCTACTATATGCTAACATGTTTTAGCTTACTCTGTATTAGGACTGAAGAAGCCACTTGTGGCAAAACATTTCCTTCAATAAATGTCCTGAACTGTACACAAGTGTCCCTTTCCACACATGAGCCAGTAGCCCTACTGCAGTGCTCTATATTTATGTAATTGTTAGGTGTGGGTAGGACCTGCTTAGTAGGATCCAGTAGACATATTGCAGTGTTCTATACTTAAGTAATGGTTGTATGTTAGTAGGATCTGCCTAGCATGAGCAGGTAGGTCTATTGCAATCCTCCTTTATTCTTATGCTTGTCAATTGTTTTGGCTAACTTTGTATTTCTCCTTTTTTGCCACTAATATTGTGAATTTTTTTTTCTGTTACATTTTCTGTACATTTTTTCAAGGTTTGCTTGAATATATTTTGCCTCAGAACCCTTTCATTGCTCTGATCCCTGATATAAAAAGTGCTGACAGTATCATGATTTAAAAAAAAAAATCTTTTGAATTAGTAGAGAATCTTTTTCTGAAGGTAATGACTAAAAATATAATAATTTATGGAAAAATGTTCAGAATTCTGCAGGCACTAAGTTAGAAGTCTGGGTGCAATTTACGCATCATTGATTTTGCTGAATCCAATCATATTCTTAGCTATTTCGTTAGTATGCCTTCTGCTCTGTTGATTGAGCATTCAACTATTGGAACTACCCTATAAAGTGCACAAAATATGGTTTTTTGGCCAATTTTGCACAATATTTTAAAAAATTCAAACTTAAAAGCAGTAGTCCAATATAGACACTGTGTGCATTACAACTACTAAAGGAACTTATCCTTTTTTCATTAATCATATCCCTAGGTCTCTCCTATATTACACTTGCCCTTCATTTTGAATCTCTCCCCAAAAAAATAAATAGAAAAGTCAAAGGTTTACCCTATTTCTTGGATAATAAAATATAACCAAGAATGATTGGTCATGGTTTAGGGCAAGGGTCAGCAACCTTGTTCTGCCTAGGGGGCCAGAGCCCATGTCTGAGTGGATGGCTTGCCACACCTATCGCCATAGTTAACAAATAGAGCTGTTGGAGTGCGAACAGGGTAATATTTTGTGAAGGGATTCAGGGAAACCGGTTAGCCGGACTTGATTCCTGGAAATGGGAAGTACAATGCCTGCACTTTAACCCGTAAACGGTCCAAACGTATATATACGTTTTTTCAACATTTGAAAGTATGTAAAAAAAGTAGATCTTTTTGTTTTTTTACATTTGAAAATGTGTAAAAAAAACTTTGATCTACTTTCGTTTTTCCTTTTGGGCCACCCTGCCTCGGTGGGATATGGCCGGTGTGTTGAAAGAAAGAAGAAGAATGTAAAAAAAACGTAGATCTACTTTTGTAGCACTACACGTGTGAACGTAGATCTGCTTGGACCGTTTACGGGTTAAAGGAGGGTTTTGGGATATTGGCAGTTTGGAGGGAATTCTAAACTGAGTGCCTCTGCAAAGACAGTGATTATGTATGAGTGAGGTGAAAGTGTTGAATGATGATGAAAGTATTTTCTTTCTGGGAATTTTCTTTTTTTTTTTTGGGTCACCCTGCCTCAGTGGGAGATGACCAATGTGTTAAAAAAAATGATAATACGTACTAAACTTTGACATATATTTAACATCATTTGAGCTATGGCCCCATTGGCTGGATCTGGCCTGCGGGCCATAGGTTGCTGACCCCTGGTTTAGGACATCCCAATAATTGAAGCAGGCCTAGTAAAACAAAACAGAGAGAGGGAGGGGCCTTACCCTGTCAGTAATGACCATTTGTCAGTGTACATGGTTACCCCTTGTGATGTCATTTGATGGTTAGCCTCGTGATTCATGGACTTGTGGCACTTACAGTCCCTGGTAATGGGCAGCTCTGTTTAAGCAGACACGACCCAGGTCAGTCACTGCTAGTTACACTCGTATCCTGTTCTCAGTGAAGATCTGCAGAGCATGATAAATGTATATCCAAGATTCCTCCACATCTGACACCCTTCCTCAGAAAGATCATCAAAAATCAAATGTTTCTACTATGTACTTTGAGCCCTGTGTCAAGCTGACTGAAATTATCTCTGTTTCAGTAGTATGTCTTCCATTCTGTCAGCTGATATTAAGAAACAGACAATAAAATCATAAAATTCACCCTAGAAAAACCTCAGAGATTTGCTTTGTCCATCATGCACCATGTGGGGCTAAATTTTTTTTTATACTTTGCATACTCGTTGCACAGATCCAAAATTTACTGATAACAGCATATTTGAGGGCACTGTGCTTAAAATGTAGGTCTACAGAGGAAATTGGACAAGTATCTTCACCAGGTGCCAGATCAACCAGGCTGTGATGGATATGTGGGGCAGCGGGCCTCCATCAGCAACAGCCTGGTTGACCAAGCAAGCACCAGACGAGCCGGGCCCATGGGTGGGCTCTGGGAATAGTTAAACTCTCAAAACTCTTCAAAGGTATATCAAAAGTATAAAGGTACATGAGTGGCACTGACATCAGTAATGTAGATTTATGTATGAGACACTGAAAGCATTGAAGTCCCTCAAGAATAAGGGTAGACTTATACATGAGATATGAAAAAATAAAGGATTTTTTGACAGAGTCAAGGTCCGACTGATACGGTAGATGGAATTCGGTATAAAGTACAGTGGACCCCCGCTTAACGATCACCTCCCAATGCGACCAATTATGTAAGTGTATTTATGTAAGTGTGTTTGTATGTGTATGTTTGGGGGTCTGAAATGGACTAATCTACTTCACAATATTCCTTATGGGAACAAATTCAGTCAGTACTGGCACCTGAACATACTTCTGGAATGAAAAAATATCGTTAACCAGGGGTCCACTGTATTAGCTGGTTCCTACTAAACTAATTCAATTCAAATTCTAAATTCAAAAATTTATTTCCACATGGTACATTGTTTGTACAGAAATGGGTGACACTTGATTATGCATGCAGAAAGCCTATGGTTATGCAAAGCATTTCAGGAAAACTTAGGCCTAGCTTAAGACTACAATGGCAGTGAACATTACATGTGTGTATAGAAGGACACGAGTCATGATTACAGGAATATGTAACAAATGTATATATAAGTAGACAGAGTATATCATTATACATGATTATAAGGAAAACACTGAGTTGTTTTTTGCATGAGATGGCATTCATTTCAAAACTCGAGTTTTAGGAGCAGTGACTAATCAGGTAACAGCCTTATAGTATTCTAGTTTCTAAAAAAAAAAAAAAAAAAAAAATTTACCCGAACAAGATACAGCTAAATCAGAGGCAGTAGGAATTGCTGAATTCAAGTATCATGAGACATTGTTTGTTAATTGAAACTTTTTACATTGGTATTAAATAATGAACAAACAAAACATAAACAAGCAGACAGACTATTTCTATAAGTTGAATTATGGTTACAAGTAAATAAGAATAAATGGTTTTAATATATGTATGTATCTGTGGTTGAAAGAATTTTTTTTTAGTATACATGTAAATACTTCTCCATGGGGAAGTGGAACAGAATTCTTCCTCCGTAAGCCATGCGTGTCGTAAGAGGTGACTAAAATGCCGGGAGCAAGGGGCTAATAACCCCTTCTGTATATATTACTAAATTTAAAAGGAGAAACATTCGTTTTTCCTTTTGGGCCACCCCACCTCAGTGGGATACGGCTGGTGCGTTGAAAGAAAGAAGAAAGATGTAAATACTTGTTTGGATCACATTAGGGAATGGGGTGCTTTTTTGCAGTAGCCTTGAAACTGTTGGGGGATAGAGAGGCTCTGGAGTTTTCAGGTTGGGAGTTTCAGATTTTGGGTCCTTTTATGTGCATTGAGCTTTTACTAAGATTATGCTTGACACTGGAAATATTGTATAAATTTTTGTGTTTAGTGTTATTCTTATGAGTTCTGTTGCAGCTATCAAAAAAACATCTCATGTCAGGATTAATATTAGAATTTATTGATTTGCATATGTAGTATGTACAGTAGTATGAGTGAATATCATGTATATTAAGTAGGTTTAGGCCTTTGAAGATTGAGGAATGTTTTGTCTGGCAGTAGATTAAGTGATCATTCATACTGCCACTTAACAAATTTGTTGAGTTAATCAAGGTGATTTGCTGTTATGGATCCCCAGGCACAAATAGCATAGGTGAGGTAGGGATAGATTAGAGAGTAGTATAATGCAAGAAGCTGGATATCTTGAGCATTACCTTTAAGACTTCTTACTATCGTATTATTTTGCCTTCATACCTTGTGTGTTAGAAATTTTGTCATGCTTTACTCAATATCAAAAGTAATATTGTTCAGGAATTAAGTGTTATTTCTTGATTATTATCAGGATCCTCACTTTTGGGGAGAAGCTACAGATGCTGCAGCACTACAGTCTAGTGAATGGGTAAAATGGCAGCCCCTGACAGATTTCAACGAATCCTCGTTCTATAATATGTGTCTTCCACAGTTTACTGCTAGAGAATTATTAGATAAATGAAGAAATGTTAATTATAAAATGAATGTTCATTGTAGATTTGAAATATTTTACGAATTTCAATTCCTCTTATGCTCTTCTGCATTTATTGCTTTCATTAAATATGCCAAGTTATTTGAAACATAATAAAAATAAATATAGTTAAATAGTACATATAATGCATTATCTGTTATATAAGATGGAGGGGAAGTCCAAAATTTACCTTTCATTTAATGGAGTCAATTTAAAATGTTAGTAAGGAAAAGGGCTTTTTTAATGTTCGAACAGCTATTTTGCATCTTAATTTTGGAATCCTATTGTGGAGGTAGGTGGTGCAGTAAATAAAACATAAACATGTAAAGTATTCCAAGTTAGCAATCATTCTGTTGTCCCACAGTCCTCCTACTTATTAACACACTAATTTATGATACATTACCCTTGTACAGCAATTTGTCGTCTGTAAGGGAGGCAATCAGTGGTGTAACGGGTTACAGATCTCAAGTACATGTCACCCCCCCTGCCACCACTTCACAGTATCGTCATTACCATGTTTCACCATCCACAATCTTCCAACACTTTAACTCCATCTTCAATTCACACTCGTTCATTCCCACACACCACCATTTTATCACAAAAATCCACTAAATTCATTCCCACAACAACCACCACCTTCGACACCCCTTCCATCTTCCACACACACCACCCCTCGAAACACTTCATATCCTCCACAACATACCACCACCCTCGACAACACTTCACTATCCTCCACAACACACCACCATCCTCGACAGTACTTCACTATCCTCCACAACACACCACCACCCTCGACAACTCTTCAGTATCCTCCACAACACACCACCACCCTCGACAACATATCAGTACCACCAAACATCTGGGTTATATGTACTACTTCATGACCTAAGCATGTGACAATGATACAGTGCTTTTACTGAAGGCAATACTGACAAAAGCAATGTGTTAACTATCCTCTCTACTTTTTTCTCTCTACTTCTGCTGTCCTCAGTAGTAGGGTAATGTAACAGTAAAGCATAAATACATGTATGCAGTAAGGTAGCTAGGGAAGCAGTCACTTTCCATGAGCACATTCAGCTCCTTGTTTGCTCTTGCTTGTTCAGCTGCTGTAGCCATCCCGATTTTCAATCCAGTGTCAAATATTGCAATGCTTTCAAAGTAAACTTAGGTTTACCACTGCATAACTATAGGACAACTAATTTAGAATTGATAGTATTATATTAGATGTCATATTTTAAAATTAATGATTTCATTAAAAAGCACATACATAAATTGCAAAATGACAGCTACCACCATAAACGTGTTTTGACATTTGAAAATAATATTCTAAGTATGGTATTGCCCATGACTGACAATTCATATTTTCCAAAATGTTTAAGTCAGTGATTCTCAACCAGGGGAAAATTTACCCCTTGGGGGTAAAAAATTACATGGCAAGGGGTAAATATTTGATGTACCTGATAATTGAATAATAATTCAGTTATCAGGTAATTCAATTACATATGTTGTTTTTCTGTCCCTTTATGATAATGATAAATTTTTTGTATGAAAGTAAGGGGGTAAATAGAGAAATACATCAAGCCGAGGGGGTTGATGATGGAGGAAAAGTTGAGAATCCCTGGTTTAAGTGGTACCTTTTTTGTTTTTTATGTGCTCTCTCCCTCTGACATTAGAACCTGGCCATACCACTGCATGTCAGGTAATAGAAACTGAAATAGGTTAAAAAATCCAAAAATCAGGGTGCGTCTAATGTACAGGTGTTTTATAACGGAAAATCTGACCTATTACTGTTGGTTTGAAACTCTGAATAAACTCTTTAGATTCCCATATCATGAGCTTATAAAACAAAAAATGATGATTATTGACAAAAAATAACTTTAATTAGCTTTGATGCTAAAGGTGAATGAATCATACTTGCTCTTTTCATAGATATTAATTAAAAAGCATATAATCATACTTTACTTTCTAACTTCATAGGTGATAACTTAAGAATATTCTTTGAATATTCTTGTAGTATTTTTTTACATCTGAGGCATTGTGTGGTAGAAAAGAATAAACACCACCAAGATTAGTGAATGAATCGATTCCTTAATGAGGAAATGTGTATATCTATTCTTCACCTGTAAGTTAGGTTCGGATCCTCATAATGCAGTATGGGAACTCGAGCTTCATAACTCCCATCTCCCTCAAGCCTTTGATTTTCTCCATTGTTTCAGTATTGCTCTTATTCTTTTCTGCCATGCATTTCCTTATATTCTTAGTGTCTAACATTTATTCTTACAATAACTCTAACATATAGTTTTACAATATCTTTAACATAAAAAGGTAGTGAGGCTGTCACTACCTTTTTATGTAATTAGTGGAAAGACAATAATGATGCCAGACTTTCCATATCCAATATATTATTAGATGAGTAAAGAGCCTTTTATTTTCCTGATATATTTCTTCATTTGATTTTATATATGGCCTCTGTAATAAAGTGCTGCATGACTCCCAGGGTTAGCATTTTTTGTGAATATGATAATATTGATTAAAACCTGATTTTGGCTTTGTGATAGGAAAAGTATTTGCAAGATTCATCCAAGTGAAACTAAGAGTGTTATTGCCTTGCAGCTCTTTTAATTAAATTTGCCAAAATATCTTATTTAAAAAATTGGGCAGTGAAGCATGCAGTGTATGAGTTGCAACAGCCAAACAAGTGGATTCATTTGCAAACTTGCAGGCTATACACAAATAACCACACACAGGAGAAAAAAGCTTATGACGATGTTTCTGTCTGACTTGGACCATTGACAAGTGTAACTTATCAATGGTTAAGTTGGATTGAGACGTCGTCATAAGCTTCATTCTCCTATGTACAGGTTATTTATGTATCGGTCGAGTCACGGTATTGTGTCTTTTTGTTCTTGCAGGCTGTTAATGCTGTTTCTATTAAGTTTTCTGTGCATGCTTTCTGGCACATGGAGACCTAAGTAAACACTGTCTTGTGTGTGTCCTGTGCATGGTGACCCATAAACTTATTTCCACTTGCATGGATGTTGAGTCTGCCTATTAAGGTGTGGCTTCTAAGTCACAAAGATGATTTGAAAGTCATCCTTGCAATATCTATTAGCATTCCTCTTGCTCAGCAATGCAGGCAACTACTACTGCTAAAGTTTCTGTACCTGAAAATTCTTCCTCTTCCTTAACATAATCATAAGTCGCTATGTTGGGTTCTGTTACCTTGATATGAGGTGCATGGTCCAGAAACCTGGTCAAAATTTGTTAAGCCCAGTAAAACTTCTGATGTGCAATGTGTTTATGAAGTTAGCCAAGTGATGGGTATAATTCCAAGAGCAGAGGTGGTGGTGTTGTGATGTTTGGGAATGTAGAAAGGAAAGAAAGAGAGAGAGAGATAGCATGACTAAGAGGGTGTATAAATCTAAAGTGGAAGGCAGGGGTCATTCCAGGAAAGGCTGGAGGGAAGAAGTAAAAGATGTTTGAGTATTCAGCAAGCTTGTGTAAGCATGTTAGATAGGAGTGAATAGAGAAAAGTGATTTTTAATGAATGTGCCGCTGGCATGTGAGAGAAGTAACTTTTATGAAGGGATTCAGGGATATCTTGTTTTGCAAGCAAACACGAGCAGTTGAGGGACCCTCTAGGTCCTATAGCTGCCACATAGTACTTTGTTGGTTACTCACACACAACTGTGTGATTAACAAATGTGTAAGACTTCAACAAGGGTAAACTGGATATTGGGTGGATAATGAGTAGCTGAAGTTTAACAATAATCTGTATTAATATAATATTAACAGTTCTTCTAGTGTCCTGGAGTATGAGTCCAGTAACTACCAGATGTTCTTATGATGTAGCATTGCTTTCACACTACAGTGAAAAATGACAAGTTGTATTTGAGATCCTGTACTTGATACTGATTAACCTCCTTCGTCTCTATGATCATAAGAGGTCTCCATGTTGGAATCCATCCCATATGTATATCCCATGAACCTGGTCAAAATGAAGTTTATGTGTTGTGTGATTATAATGTTAGCCAGGTGATGTTGGAAAGTTCTCTCTCTGTATAAGGGGTTAATGATATTCAGGGGGATAGTGTAACAAAAGTTACAAAGTGTAGATGACAGTCCTGTTGCTGTTCTTCAACATACTTGCCTCAATATGTGATGGGGAATGGCCATTCTTGCTTGTTTAGTTGTCTATCAAGTACCCATCCTCAGAGCAGATACTTTTGGCTGTCCTGTAAAATGCACCACAAATATGCAAGAGATGTTGGCACATTGATGTTTGACAGCCATGAACATGCCTGTTCCATGTGTTTATTAGGTAAATTTAGAATGGCCTACCCTAATTATAATGGAGAGCCTTGCAAACTGCATACCCTCATTGTCTGAATTGTGGTGGGCCTCACTTCATTTATTTCTGATCATGTCCTGTTTGTATTAAGAACCAAAAGGTGAGTCTTGTATAGAAGAAAGGAAGGCTTGTATTTTTCTTGGAGGTAATAGAGGAACCTTTCATGTACTTTGAGGCCTAATACAGTGGACCCCCGCTTAACGATCACCTCCCAATGCGACCAATTATGTAAGTGTATTTATGTAAGTGCGTTTGTACGTGTCTGTTTGGGGGTCTGAAATGGACTAATCTACTTCACAATATTCCTTATGGGAACAAATTCGGTCAGTACTGGCACCTGAACATACTTCTGGAATGAAAAAATATCATAAACAGGGGATCCACTGTATAGGGTAGACTGCCCTGCTAATGTTTATTAACTTGATCCCATTCATCATCAAGGTTTACATGTGTGTCAAGACCTGGTATACACAGGGAAAAATGTTTTATTTGGAAAAATGAAGGTACTGCCCATTGTCTTGGTTATTTTGCTTGCTTGCATCAGCTTCATGATCTTTTCAAGTACAGAACAATTAGCTGCTTTTGATAAATTTTTTGTAAGGACACAATATGCTTATTGTCTTAATAACGTACTTGTCAGTATACAGTGGACCCCCGGTTAACGATTTTAATCCGTGCAAGAGGGGTAATTGTTATGCGAAATAATCGCTATGTGAATGAATTTTCCCCATAAGAAATAATGGAAATCAAATTAATCCGT